ATATGAACGGTCGTTCCCCTTCTTTTTCTTCTTCTTCAACCCTCCAGTAAGAGAGGCGTAAATGGAAAACGGAGACGAAGTGAACGTAAATGAAATGGGTAATTTAGTAATTTTGGGAAACTATATCGATCATGTGATGTCACATATAACGGAGCGCAATTAATTAAATCATAAAGATAATTTAAGAAATTTGTCCTATAAATGAATATCATGATATAGCACTAAACCAAACCAAATGATGAAATAAGTACTTCAAATTGTATTAAATGCCACAAAACATTTATTCAGTTTGGAAGGAGTATAAATACAAATATGTACAATATAAATATATACAAAATAATGCAAAATACAAGGTTTTGCGCTCTATAAATTTGTATTTGTACTCTTTGCGGACTAAGCCTTTGTTTTAAATATAGTGGCAAAAAAAATGGTTCACTTTATGTTAGCAAATACATGTATTGATTGCCCACAATTGCTCAATTTCATTACTCTAAAATCTTCATAATCCCACCTTGCCGCTATGATGCTAGGAACCATGGTCTTCAAAACTGGAGTGGACTGGATGGTATTGGAAAAATCGGGAATCGGTTCTATTTTACTCTCAAATGATTTTTTGGTCAAAAACCATTGATTTGGTCAGCAAACCACTGACTTGGGTAGTTGAATTGTCAATCCAGACATCGGTTTTTGGCCATTTTTTCTTTTTAATTTTTAATTTTTTTTTCTGTTAGAGTGGGTCATCTGTTTGGACCGAATTGTCGGACTGTTTGACCAGGGAACTGGACCCAGAATGGTTCCCTGTTCGATCTGATTTTAAAAACCTTGCTAGGAACAACAATGCCATATACAAAGCTTAGAAGGGGTGTGATAGAATTAATAAGTATATGGATGATGAAGTAGGGCTAGTGTAGAAATCAGAAATCTATCAATTTTGCCCGTTCAAGTCTCCAATCCAATGTTGATTTATCTACCAATGCATTAAGAAATCGGGAAATGTAAAAATGAAAACAAAAAGGTGTGGGTGTTGGTTGATGCTAAGGCTGTGTTTGGGAGTGCTTAAAATAAGCATTTATTTGCATTTGGCACCCAGCTTTTTCGAGTGCTTACTTATTTCATATTGGGCATTTGCTAGTCCTTTTCTCCAATAAGCATTTAAATAAGCAATTGTGACTCTTTTATCATTCATTTTCTTTCAAATTTTCAAAATACTTAATTCAAAGTGAATGAATAAAAGTACTTTAATTCAAAATACTTCCATAAAAATATTTTTATAAAAGTGATTTTGTAAAAGTACTTTTATATCACTTATAAAAGTACTTTTATTTTTATAAAAGTGTTTTTGTAGAGTGCTTTTGTAAAAGTGTTTTCCTAAAAATGCTTTTATTGAAGTACTTTCATAAAAGTGTTTTTATAAAAGTATAAAAGTACTTTTGTAAAAATACTTTCATAAAAATACTTTTATAAAAGTGATTTCATAAAAATACTTTTATAAAAGTGCTTTCGTGAAAGTATTTTTATAAAAATTCTTTTGTAGAAGTACTTTTCATAAAATTAATTTTATAAGGTTCAGTTTTGATATGGAAAAGATATGATATCCAAAAAACTTTTGAGTTTTGACCAACCAACTAAAATTATAAACATGGTAGCCAATCAGGTATTATTTATCAAAATTCAAGGGTGGGTTTTGAAAAGGGTATAATTGGTAATCTAAAAATTTATCGAAGACAATTATAAAAGAGAAAAAATGAATAAGTGCTTATTGTATGAGCCCTTAAAAAAGCTGAAAATTTGGGCTTAAAAAATAAACCTTTATTTTTAAATTAAATACTTATTTCTCAAATACCAGTAAATACTTAATGATATGTGGTCTCCACCTAAATAAAAAATTATTTCAAATAAGCACTTTTTAAGTACTCCCAAATAAAATTCGGATTAACTAAACCTTCTTTACCTATTCAGCCAACCATACCAATGATGAAATTCTACGCCACTAATAAATTAATGGGCCTACTGTAAAAGACGCGGGGCCTCATGTATTTAATACTGGCGTGGATTGTGGAACCAATATCCTTTGGTTCCACAACCCGAAAGAGCTAAAGTGGAAACAACCGCAGTTAACTAATTTTAGAAGATTTGACAGGATTGATGTCACTGATAGCGTGGGTTCAATTTTGCTACGACAGTATCCTAGCGTAGGGCTAAAATGGAGAATCGAGGCTTTAGATGTATTACGGTGGCTCCACCAAGATGTCACTTTATCTAATTCAAGGTGGGGTGATAGCAAAACATAGAATGCCTTGATTTCGTTGTTTTAGCACAGGGCTACGATTTAGCCTGACAATAAACATGTCATGGAAAAAGTCAAAGTTTTGTAGAGCGAGCTAGCCAAATGCTACCACAGTTGGTATCAGGGCAGATCAGCATAGAGCCAGTTGAAGCGGTAATTTCGACAAGTAGTACATCGTGGGGTGTGGTCTCTTGGCAACTCAGGTACAAGCAAGCAAGCATACACATTAGGCCTAACAAGAGGTCATTCATTGTGTTCCCATTCCAATGACCCCAAAGCAGCACCCTTGTGGGGGCAGACGCATGGGCCATTTAATGGAAGGCATATTGTGGTGGTTTGAATGGGGGAGTGCCATACTTCTTCACGGACATCAGTTGTTCATTTTGGTGAATTGTGGGCGGTGCGCCTACATCTTGATTTCATGATGGATGAGTCATTGTTTCGTAACTTGTCTGATGCACTACTAAGGCAAGGACAGCAGTCCGACATTGGTTTGTATCGACGATTGGTCAAGGAATATTTTGAAGTGGCAGTTTTGCATCAAATGGGTCCTCGGTTGAAGCCACAATATTAGAATGTGAGTACACTGGCCATTGGAGCATGGCGGCCCTACACCGGAAATGCATCGGAGGACATGCTCAGCTCAACAACAGGCGGAACACTTGTAGCAACAACACACATCACAAAGCGAGTGCATGTTCGACAACATCTTGGGTAAAAGTTGCCACCACTCGCGTACATTGCCGTCAGATCTCCTTGAGGCAGTAGAACATTAGGGCCCCCTCGGAGCGAAGAGGTAGCCCGAATCTGTATAGTGAAGTGTAGTTTCGAGGGCCAAAAGAGCATAAGCCATGGACCAGGTTTGATTAACCCGCACACTGAGAGGTGAAGTCTACAGGCCAGTATGGTGAAAGGGTACCCAGGATACATCGCCAACAGCAGGAGTAGACCTATCATATCGTGTTCGGTAGCAACATCGAAAAGCTACCATGAAGACAGTTGAGCCTTGAGGTAAAGAGATACATGGGGTGGACCTTCGCGAAGCACACACATCCAATTTCTTCGAGGGCCCTTCTCACACACTTTCAACGGCATACCCATTACGTGGTTTGAGTAACCTCAACACTAGGGGTGAAGTCTAGGCAGGTCGGCATGGTGAAATGGTTCCGTCCCCATCAATGGACACCAACATAGGCGAGACCCGGGTTGACCAGACGTGCCCAGAACTGGAGCACACATGGATGAGGTGGGACATAGACGCCCATTCACAGAAGGAGCCATTGTTGAGGACGACAATGGACTGAGTGGGGGAGCCTGTCACGGTCTGACACAAGCTTAGCCTTGCCTACGCTTGGCGGGCTTACTTTAAGGGACACCATCGTCATTTTTCCCTGTAAGATTTTTGGGAGAAGTGATGTTATCTTCAGGCAGACTACCAAAAGCTTAACGTACTCATTGAGGAGGGATGGGCATGCCTAGCCTAAGCATGACCCTTCATCACGCCAGCCCTTGCCTAAGCTGAATGAACTATCCCATTGCCCATAGCGCATGGGTGTGTTCTGACCTAGCAGTTGCCTATCATCATCAACACTCATGTGCCCAGCATCGTCGGCATACAGGAGTTCCTCTTATTTGTGCCTAGTCACCTCTCATCATGGCCGTCCCCCTTTAGCACGTAAGAGGCGCCTCTCATGGATCAGCCAGAGCCAGCAGAGAGCCCCAATCATGCGAATTGAGGTCATGATCCAATGCTATTGAACTTGATGGAGCCATCACATCGGGTAACTCCTAACCTCATAGCACATATAAAGTTTATCCTGACCTACCTTAGCTTGAATGCCGCATGGGTTTCTTCCGCTGCAGATCTACCCCCATTGGAGAATGGAGTAGACCGCCAACCCCAGTCTTAGCTCAGTATGTGCTACTCTGCTGTGCTGGGTTTTATTACATTTACATATAATCCCAACCCACTCTCCATTCTCCACTCTTCCCTCCCCCTGATTACGGAGGGATGCCTCCAACCTACAACCCATACATCGACAAGGATGAGTTTAACAGCAAGCATGACATTTAAATTATATTATATATATACAGAGACTAGGCCAACACATTGATCGACCTGCTACTTTGGTCTTGATGCAATACAACTGCAATCAGATGCCCTCATGAACCGGGAGGAAACTACCAATCCGTCATCTAACCTTTTTTTTTTTCTTTTTTGCCTAAAGAAAGGGTTCTTTCGCCATTTTGAAAATTAATACATAAATTATTTTCCAGTTGACTCCATTATAAGTCTTTAACCATATAAAATATATAATCATGCACTTATGCATGTATACCTATGTTTATTTAAGCCATTCGGAAACCTGTTCATGGCCGGGTTCAGGCTTTATCTTTTGTCAAAATTTGAACGGGCCCGGCCTATAACTTGAGCCCAAAGCCCGACCCGTGAAAGTTCTTTTTTTTTTTTTGAAACAGGGGAGGGGGAGGTTGATTGATCAAAGTTATTTAGGTATCATACCTGTGTATTGCCTCAGTCAATAGAGAGAAACGTGTATATTGAAATTTACAACTTTGCAAAAGAAAAAAAAAAATACAAACAAAACTCTTTTTGTATGCATTATTTCCTCTCTACATTATATGCATTTAGTAGATTCGAAGAGAGAGAGAAACTACTAACTAGTAATACCCATGGCCATGTCCGTGTCTTCTTACTTGGCTTTGCTACATTGTCCAGAACAGTAAACAAACACGTCTTAGACTTAAATTTCTCATTTTTCTCCTGTCAAAGCTTTTACAAACTCCGCTTATTTCCTCGACTCTTTCTTCCTGCTTGCATGCTTTTAGCGCCACAAACATCACCTCCATCACCATTAATATGCTCTACAATTAACTATATCCACCCGTAAACTTTTTTGCATGCTTTGCTTCTTACGCCCTTCACGACCCACAACTTCTTCCATTATTCTCTTCTGATTTCACCGTCTCTCTATACTCTTGCCGTGGAATCTGGTTTTACGAGTGATGGGTCCTTTCTGTATGAATTCCGTTGTTTTTCTTTAATTTTATTCGGTCGACGTTGGTGGCTCCTCCTCTCAGCTCCCAATCGGTTGTGTTCTCGAGTTCCAATGGGACCTGTTAGAGGGTTCAAGAGAAAGAGGAAGGTAGACAAGAAGGCTGAAAGAAAAGCCTCGGCCGCCCCAGCGCCGTCACAACTGGATGTGCCCGTTGATTGGTGGGACGACTTCTCCAAGAGAATTACTGGTATATCGCCTTTGCTTTGTTACTGTTGCTTACTATTTTCCCTTGGCTTTTCTTTTTGATATTCTGTTGTTGTTGTGTTTATTTGTTCAACATATGCATATGGATACTGCTCTTGCTGTGTTCGACCAGTATGGTAGTTATTATGTTACTCGTTAGGTTTTCCTTTTGTTTGGTGGAATTTTAGCACATGGGTTCAACCCAGTTTTGGTTAATTAGATCAATTTCCTGCCTTATTTCTCATACAAGCCTGCTGAAGTGCTGATGGTGTGTTGAATATACATTTAGGTTCATGTATAGGCTAAAGAGGATCCCCAATATTCCATTTTATACTACTTCTGAGTAATCTGCCTTCTAGCTGACATTCTTGGTTTTTCTTTTCGGTACATTTAGGAAACCATAGGACGCTGTTGTTCAGGAACATTTACTACTTCATTTAGTGAAATTCCACCTTGGGTCAAATCTTCATTTCACCTTCACATTTGAATCACTTAAAAGTAGATTGCCAGTCAAAGAACTTGCCATTGCCTCCCTGTGTTTCTGACAAATCATCTTACGATCTATCAGAATATGGAATTCATGAATGATTTTGGATTTTCATTTGCATTTGGCTTTAGGAATGTGGAACTGTTGTTTATGGTGGGCAGTGTATGCTATATAAGGGACAAAATAAAGTTGTTTATGCATGTCAATTGTAGCCAATTTTTTTTTCATTTATCTTCGAGATTGGGAAGAAGGGGTTTCAGGTTAATTGACTTTATTTTTTATCAGTTTTATTGACTTTGTCTGTAAGGATAGTTTTCATTTCAAGTTCACATAATTTGAGAGAACCGCACTACAAAGTTCTAGCTTAGACATGTAGAATGTCTGACCTTTTTCTTAAGGCTTGGATGTAAGAACATGAGGTACTGCACTTCTGCTTTAAGTTTCCATGATATTATTGTCTCTTACAAACACTTCAAGCCAATATTTTGGTGCTATAATGTGGTATTTGTTCTTCAAATTGCTTTAAATGTGATAACCACAGATGGAATTGTTGGCATCTACTAGTGATAGGGCATTGCCAGTTCGTCTTAGGTGAAATTTTCCATTGTATTTTTCTTGGGCGAGTATTCTTTATTGAAGGATATGCTGGGCCTTGTGGTGAAAGGTTTGAGTTGTAAGGGGATTATCAATTATTGGCTGAGAGGCCGGTGCTTCAGAAGAATGCTGGTTTTAGCCTGGCTTCATATTCCTTTTTTTTTTGAGCTACTAATTTGATATTAAGTCACTCAAACAATGTAGTAGGTGGATCAAGTAACATTTTATGGGATAAGGTGTTAAAGCACACGTTGATATTTTAGGGCCTTAGAACTTGGGTCGAAGATACAGCCATGTGGAGGAAAAAATGGTACTTGGAGAATTGTCATCTGTAGGAAGCATTTGCACAATGGTTGATGTAACTCAGTTTTTCACCTTTTAGGGAAAAACCTTGCTATCTCACTTCTCATTGAAATTTTAGCCACATCTTAAATGTTAGTCTCAATTTCATTGGCTAAACATGAGTAAATTGGTAATTCTGTCTAGGGGATCCTAGCTCATTTCTTCCCTTTCTATCTTCTCCAATTTCAGCTAGGTGTTTTGCTTCCTTCCTCTATACCTTGGATCAAAATAGACTATATTGAGATTTAGGTTTTGGAAGGTGGCATACCATTTTTTATTGCAAACATCACCCTTAGTGATCTGCTCATATTTTGGGTTTAGTTTATCTCCTGTTCATCTTTTATGAAATCCTAAGGTGCATTTTAGATGATGCCAACAAATAGTAAGTGAAAGAACTTGCAAAATCAACCCTTGGGAACAAAACATTGTCCTATAATGAACACACTGATAAGCAACAGAAATTATGTTTTTGAAAGAGAAATTAAGTTACAAATTAGAATTCCTGCTGGCCAGATAATATATCTGAAATTCATGTTGCAAGATGGAGATTGAGATCCAACTTTTCTGGATCAATCATTGATGAAAATCCACATTCCTTTTATCCAAGAGAATGGACACCTCTACTAGCTTGTCTAAGAATCCGTATTTTTAGATGCTAAACCATGATGCAAGGCTTTCCACTTGTTCAAGGTGTGGTATAAGCCTTACAAGCATCTTACATATGCATATGTTTGTGCGTGTAAGTGTGTGTATAAATCCCATTTGGTGAATCTTGTACCTTTGTCTGAGACAACGAGTTGGTGGTGTTCTTCAGATGATGCTTGGACCTTTAGTGGTTTCCTGATGTTCCCTCCAAGCTCCCCTTAATAGGATAGAAGTTTTTTCACCCCAACCCTAAAACGTTAGCTCTCCAATTACTGTTGCTAAAGTGGAAGGGAAAAAAGGGATGATGATTGATATTTATATGAGGATAATAAACAAAAGAATATGGTTAAACAACTAACCAATATCAAAGCTAAAAAATAAAAGATTGTTCTTTCAAATGAGATATAGGTGTATATCTTATGTGAGGTGAAAACATCAGATATAAGGCATGCTTAATGCTTACATCTCACTCAGAGACATCTGCCTCATAAATGTCTCATAGTTTGAGGAGTATAGTCCATGTGCATACTATGCATCAGATATGAGCCTCAGTGTATTTTAGGAACTCCTCACACTGAGGTGTGCCTTGATGCTTATACCTGATATGCATCCAAAACATCGGTTGAGCTTGCTTCTAAATAGAAGTGGTCTTCAAAGTTATTTTGCTGACTTTCTCCCTTATAATATAGGAATTAAACTCACGTATTTGGGTCATTTCTGGACTGAAATTTTCAGTTAGTTATTGGACATCAGTTCAACTTTATTGTAACAGTTTATAATACCTAAATTGGAGTACAGACATGCTTTTAGGGAAATTGATACCTTGGCAAAGAGATTCAACTCTACTTTTGGCTGGATAAGAAGGACTGCAAACGGAATGGCAGATATATTGGCAAAGCAAGGAGTTGATAGACCTGGCTTGTTTTGGGCAAAATTGTAATCTGATGTACTTTGGGCTGCTGGGAACCTATTAACTTTTTTGGGACTTCTTTGTAACTGTGGCTTAAAAATTTTTGGGGATGACATCCCTGTCATCACATTGTACTGCTACAGCTTTATTTAATTCTAATAAAATAATTATCTTCTGCTAATCGAAAACAAAAGTACCTAAATTGTTATACTAAGTTTGTGACAAGTAAATGGATCTTTTTTGGATAAGGCCTTTTAGGTTGAATTATAAAGAGGGGAGTATGCTTTTAGCAGTTATGATACCATCATTATAGAATGATAAATCTCTTCCTCCTATATTTCTTGATGTCTGCTTTACACTATACTGTTAATCTGCATCCTTGCTCTTTGTGATGATCGCTCTTATACTTTTTTTTGTTTTTTTTTTTTTTTGTGTAAACCCTTCCTTAATATATAACCTTGTTTTACTCATTGAAGAATAAAACATGCACTCATTTCTGGATTTCAACACCAAGTCTTTCTTCTTCATTTTCTTCTCCATCTTTCCACATAACATTATGAGTTGAAGGGTATAGAATTAAGGCTTCTTGTATATGATCCATTTTTACATGCTTTCCATGATGGCAATATGGAATTATGGAAACCTTGTTAGTTGTTTCATTGTGGATTTTGACCTCCAAAAGCCTTTCTTCTCCAATATTGTTTTCTGGATTATCCTGTCTTTGTATGTGTAATTGCAAGTTCTGAAGCTATAGAATTAAGTGTTCTTGTATATATACCAATTTTACATGGTTGCCAAGATGGAAATATGACCTCAGCTTTCCATATTGTCTCACTGTGTACATGCATCACAGTACCTAAATTCTCATCTTACTGCATTCATAACCATTGTTCTGCAAGTTGGCATTGCCTTTTGCAGATTGTCTCAGTGTGACATGCATCTGGAACCTGTCTTGTAGTGTAGTACATAGTTAAGTAACCTGTTACCAATGTACAAATGATCATGCATACTCAGGCATAGAAGTATGCCTGGATTGTCATTGCCTTCAATAAATGAGAGTGGGGCAAACACTAATGCATCCACATGAGAAAGCACATTATTAGTAGGTCTATTAGCGGTTCCTTCAATAAATGAGAGTGGGGCAAACACTAATGCATCCGCATGAGAAAGCACATTATTAGTAGGTCTATTAGTGGTTCCTTCAATAAATAAGAGTGGGGCAAGGCACATTATTTTAAAATTTTGGCTTATCGAACCGGATAATCCGAATGCTCACCCCTATGACAAAGGAATTTGTTTCCTTTATTCCCCATACAAGTTGCCTTGCTCCAAGATGAATGCAACTCCCTTTGCCTCATAATCTCTTTTATAATAACCAGAAACTTAAGATTATCACGTTTAGTTTTTCCTTTCTTTATTTCTTCAAAAAATAATGTTGATTCAAGTAACCCATGACATGGTATTTTGTATGATGGTGAAGTATATGATAATTGTAAAGTGGTTCGAGTTTCTATTGCAAAGTTCTAGGTATCAGTGCCAGAAGATGATGCGACTTCTAGATATTAACCACTGTAAGATAGTACCTGGAAATCACTAAGTGGATAGGAATCTGCTTTCATGTTTTCTATCTATTTATCATGTGATTATTATTTTGATATAATAATTAGAACATGATTAGTGCAAATGATCATTTTGATTACATTTTCTTCTGGAGGCTAGCCTCTAACATTGTTACCTCGTTCTCCAGGATTCCCAGTATCAGCAAATGATCTAGTTGATGCTTTGAGTATAAGTGGGGTTTGGTTTATTCCTTGAATTGTGGCAACGTTTTCCTTAACTAGTCCTTATTTTTCTCTTTTTGGTTCATGAAATTTTAGTCTAGTTTAGCAGATCTGCACTCCCTTTCTTCTCATACTATATGTATATATTGGATCTTTTTCTAGCTGATGACAAGATATGTTTTGCATCTTGGTTTCCTTTTACCATTTACCCTGTAAAGACTTGAGCCAGGGATTAACCCAGTAAA